CCATTTACGGGTCTTAAACAAAGATAGGCATGTGGTGATATTATGTTTCAAATGATTATTTTGGCCCGGCATAATAAATTGCAGGAAGCAAAATTTAAGACAGTAAGACCGGGTGGAAAATGCTGATACCTTATGAAGATAATGGTTTGTGAGGATGAAAGGAAGAAGATGGATTTGAGTTTGGGATATAGAATAGAAAGAACTTAGGGACAGACTAGGATAGAATTAAAGTAGAAGTCAAAGAAGCTCCTGAATTTATGGTTTGGACAGTTAGGCCAGTGCTGGATTATCCAATATCCAGAGTAAGCAGAGTACCCAAAATGTGGAAACATACTGATTTTGGATATATTGTTTTTAAAAATACTTAATTGTCATAGGAATATCAGAGTATTTTAGACTTCTTTACCTTTTTATGCTTTAGTTTGAATTATATATTTTAAGAGAGGGGATCATAATCTTTTCATCAAGGCCTTAATCCTTCTCTGACCAGGGTGGTTGGTGGTATCATTTCACCAAGAACATGGACATGGGAGAAGGAGCAAGTTTTGGCTTACTGTATCTGTTATTCTTAGCCCTGAGCAAAGGAAATGGCATGATTAGACAGGTAAGGGACTGAAAATCAGGTACTTCTAGGGAGACACCATTAAAGCAATTCACATAGCTCAGATCAAATGGAATATTTATGTTTAAAACAGTATGTTTCAAATGGAGAAATAGAGAGCTTATTTGCTGGCAAGACAAATAATGAATGCAAGCTGATATAATAATTGGAGATAGAAATTTAGCTATGGGTTTTTACCCTGGAGTTCAGGGAAATTTCGAAACTCTGAAATTCTAGGCAAAATTGTGTGTGTGTGTGTGTGTGTGTGTGTGTGTGTGTGTGTGCAGCACATTTTCATGGGTATAAGTTCTACATCTTCAGATATTTCACAGTTGTCTTTGACCCCCAAAAGATCACCAACCACCAGTAGTAAATTTACTATGAAGTAAATATGTCCTCTTTTTCAGAGTTTCTCATTTGCCTGGGACTCTTCCAAGGCCCTAGGAGGAGTCCTAGCAATCTTGTATTGTGTTTACTTAAAGCGAGTGTTCCTTTCAAATTACATAAAGTGTCTGGTCCCACAAAAGCTGGACATATGGAATTTTGCAACATTACTTAGTATCTGGTAGTTGATACCATCTAAGATGAATGAGTGTAAAGAAAAGACTGGGAAAAGCCAAAGAGTGCACTAGGAAAGACAAAAGAAGGAATGCTAATCAAATAAATAATTACTGGGGAAGAAGACTGAGACCACATTGTCAAGGAAGTAAAGCAGAAAGAGAGATGGTTAGCCATGTCCAACATGAATGGGAGATCAGGAAAAAGGAAAAATAAATTATTACATGAGTATCTAGGACACCTTCAAAGGAAGTTGTAAGAACAGAAAGCTGGTTGTTCTTTCACCTTCTGAAAAAGTAGAAATGGTAGTTGAATAAGTGTAAATGGTAGCTAGAGTCCACAAATATGCAGGGAGATAAAAGTACCAATAGGAAACTCTAAACTTCACTGTTCTGTTAAGGTAACATTCATCAATAAAGTAGTCTCACTGTAAAATTGAGATTTATACTAAAGTTAAGTCAGATGGCATATGTGTAGTTTTCAAAATGTGTCTTAAATGTGTTCCATGGCCAGGCAAAGGCTTTCAGTGACCCTCATTCCCCCATCTCCTAATCCTGCATACTAATCCTCTCAGTACTTGAATTTCCATATTTCTGCTCTATATCACCTTTTCCTAGCTGATGATATGGAGCAGTCAGGGTAGAAAGAGAAAAGAAGCCATAGTGTGATGTTTAAAATAAAAAGTTTTAAATTTAAAATTATACTGGGTTACTCACAAAACTAATAATTCATGTATGGTTAATTGAATGTTTGAAATTCAGGCTAAGGAGACATCTATTTGAACCAGAATGTTCTAAATGAGCCACCCTGGAAATTCTGAAATTGATTGGCTTTACTTGAGCACAAATGTGTTAGAAGTGTACTTTTTTTTTAGTGTGAAATGAAGCCTTAACAGAGATACATGCTCAGATCTGCTGATATGTATTTTATGGAGGATCCTAGATACCATTTACAATATTTTCACAGAAACTTCCTCTGGAATATACTTCTAGGTGAACTAATTTCTTTACAGTTCCCAACTTAATTTCTACACTGGTTATATTTTTAAAGGCTTTTGATTTAACTATTGATGTGGTTGTTCATAATTGTGTCACTAGGAAAACTCTGCTACTTGAGGACAATGACTTTGAATAGCTAATATGACAGAATATAATTGGGGCATGGAAAATGGCTACAAATTAGAATAGCTAAATTTTAAAAACTGGTTTAAGGTTTCTAAAAACTAAAAAATAATAATTCCATAAAAAAACAGTAATTTGGACTTCTGGCCAAGATGGAGGCATAGGTGGAAATACTGTACCTCCTTGCACAGCCAAATTTAAAGACAACAAAGATTTAGAAAAAAGAACAAAACCAAAATAGATGGAAAAATGAACCATACCAAAATCCGACAACAACGAACCATTCATCCAGACCGGTAAGAGGGGCGAAGTCAGTGGCTGGTGGAAAGGGGTTGTCGCAGGAAAAAGCAGTGGCTGCTGGACTGACCCAGGAGCACAGGCGGCAGTTGGCAGATCCCAGGTTGGGTGGCAATGGGCAGACCCAGTGAGGGCGCAAGGCGGCTGGCTGACCATGGTCACACAATCACACGTAGGTAAACAAGGCAAAGAAAATGGACAGTGAGACAAACCGCACAACTCAGGGCCCCAGTAACAGGAATTAAGACCTAAAAGCACCAATTGGAAAAACTTTTGCTGGTTGAAGTGCCAGAAAAGGCTCCCAGCCTCACAGGAGATTTCATTGGAGAGACCCACAGGGTCCTAGAACGTACACAAGCTCATGCACCCAAGGGCCCAATTTGCTTGTGGGAAGTGGCAGAGGGGACCGAAATCCGAGAAAGTGCAGAACAAACGCATTGCTCCCTCTCTAACCCTGCCTCCAGTTACAACCCAGTAACTGGGTTGACCCACCCCAGTGAACACCTAAGCTTTTGCCCACTCATATGTAACAGGCACAAACAGACCAAAACATTATGGCTCAAGCAGAAGAACAGCTCAAAGCCCCAGAGCCAATACTTCTAATCAAAAAGGAGATAGTCAACCTATTGGATGCACAGTTCAAAACACTGGTGATCAGGATGCTCACAGAACTGGTTGATTTTAGTCACAAATTAGATAAAAAATTTTAACTAAACTAAGTAAAATTAAGCAAAATGCAAAGGGAACCAATAGTGATGGAAAGAAAATTGGGACTCAAATCAGTGGAGTGGACCAGAAGGAAAAGAGAAACAACCAAACAGAGAAGAATAAAGAAATAAGAATTCAAAAAAATGAGGAGAAGCTTAGGAACCTCCAGGACATCTTTAAATGTTCCAATCTCTGTATTATAGGGGTACCAGAAGGAGAAGAGGAAGAGCAACAAGTGGAAAACTTATTTGAACAAGTATTAAAGGAGAACTTCCCCAATCTGGCAAAGGAAATAGACTTCCAGGAAGTCCAAGAAGCTCAGAGAGTCCCAAAGAAGGTAGACCCAAGGAGGAATACACCAAGGCACATCATAATTACATTAACCAAGATTAAAATGAAGGAGAGAATTCTAGAAGCAGCAAGAGATAAGGGGACAGTCACCTACAAAGGAGTGCCCATTGGACTGTCAGCTGATTTCTCAAAAGAGAGCTTCCAGGCAAGAAGGGGCTGGAATGAAGTATTCCAAGTCATGAAAGACAAGGACCTACATCCAAGATTGCTCTATCCAGCAAAGCTTTCATTTAGAATGGAAGGGAAGATAAAGCACTTCTCAGAAAAGGTCAACTTCAAGGAGTTCATCATCACCAAGTCCTTATTATATGAAATGTTGAAGTGACTTATCTAAGAAAAAGAAGATAAAAATATGAACAGTGAAAGGACAGCAAACTCACAGTTATTAACAACCACACCTAAAACAAAAGAAAACAAAGAGGACAGCTAGATCAGGAGCAGAACCATAGAAATGGAGATCACATGGAGGGTTAGCAATAGGGGAGTGGGAGAAGGAGAAGTGGGGAGAAGGTACAGAGAATAAGTAGCATAGATGGTCGGTAGAAAATGGACTGGGGGGGCAGACAAGAATAGTATGGGAAATGTAGAAGCTAAAGAACTGTGACACATGAACATGAAGCAAAAGGGGGAGTAGGGGAAGGGGGTGTGTAAAGTAGAAGAGAATGGAGGGGAATGGGGCAGCTGTAATGGCATAATCAATAAAATATATTTAAAGAAACAGTAATTTGTATGTCTTTATTAGCAAAGTGCTAGGTAGGAAATGACTAACACTATTTTTAATGAGAAAGATTTATAACATTATTATTTATTTTTAAATGTTATTCTTGTTGAAAGAATAATGCAGTGTAATAAGACATGATTCATAATGCACACATGTGAATGAAAGATGTTCTAACTATTTGATAATTAGCTATGGTTAACATAGAAGCAATTCATAACACTTTTATATTTAGATAGCATAAGCAGCTTTATTTTCTAGCCTTTCTTTCTAATAGTTAGACTTAGTTTGACTTGAGTATTTCTTCTTTAGTAAGTAAAGCATTTGATCTAAAGAAAGCCAGTTAAATACAACATACATGTTTTGTGGTTACATTGTTAGACTGGCAGAGCATGTATATCAGTTTGACTGTAGATTTTGTTTGAATTGTATTTTGGAAATTTATAAATTATTTGGATATAACATTATTTTTGTCCAACTGTCAGCCACTTCTGCAAATAAAATTTTATTTTCTGCAGTTAAGTATTGTTGAAATTGTGTTGGAATCAACTGTCTTTCACATTTATAACTGTTTTTGATTAACAGTACAAATTTTAGATGACAAAAATATATCCCAAATAAATACATATTGACATTTTGCCTTTAGCCAATAAGAAGAAAGAGAAAGAACGCCCAGAGATCTCTCTTCCTTCAGACTTTGAACATACGATTCATGTGGGGTTTGATGCAGTCACTGGGGAATTCACTGTAAGTAAGCTTATTTTGTTTTGTAAGCCTTTCAAAAAATCCTTTGTTATAATAGGTCTCAAGCAAGATTGCCATGTGCCAAAATGTCATAGACTTGAAGTTTTTTATGGCAAGAATATTGGCAAAATAATGTCCATCTTAACAAAAATGTCTGATGGCTCTGTAAATCTTCCACTTGATTGAAAATGCTAATTTACCTTTGCATATAAGATGTAGTCCTAGCAATTTGATCTTGCTTGGTTGGGTCTATTGTTTATATTTGAAGTGAATCATAGAATCATTGACTCAACTTGGACAGTGAAGACAATCTGTCTGAATAATTCAGGCTTTACATTGAAATCTGGATTATTCAGATCAGCTCACCACACACAGTAACAAAAAAAATCTGTAAAACTGACCTGTTTGCCCTGTAATTTCAAGAACATAGCTTATTTGGGAGCTTCACAGGTATTTTTTGTAGATACTCAAAAACAAACCCTATGTTTCAGGAAGAAACATTGATGGATATACAGATTATATATGCTTTAGTGATTATATATACACCTACAGTAAATACCAATAAGAATTCTCTACAAAATTTCATATCTATAGATCCAGCCTATATTTGGATATCTGTAGTGCTCAAATTTCACAGGATCTCAGATCTATGACATTTTATACTTAAGATTTGACATCTTTTTTTTTTAGATGGAAGAAGGAAAAGTTCTGCCTAGAAATATGTCCCCAGGAAGATCAACTCTCTTTCCCATACTAGTAAGAAACTCAGTCACACTCTGCATTCTGAGATAATGAATAATTTTGAATGCATTCAAACAAAAAAAATCTTTGATGTGACCATCACAGTTGATTTATAGGTTCTTAAACAAGAGATAAATTTAGATTTAATAGTTAAATTTCCTGTTGTATAACATGATGCCTAGTGAGTACACTGTTATATGGTTAAATGAAAGTGTAAGAAAAAAAGAGATGACAAATTAATTTGATTTGGAAAAGCAAACCCTGTCTCTGAATTAATAACCAAATTAATTTTTTCCTTCAAACATTATGCTTTTTTAAAAAATTCATTTTAATTGTTGCTCAAGCACAGTTTTTTTCAATTCTGGAAGTGAACTATATGAAAATGAAATGGAAATTAGGTAAACATCTTGGATTTGTAAAGTGATGTGAGCTAATTATTTGTATATTCTCAGTAGCAATAAGAGAACATTAAGAAGTACTGGCATTGATAAATTTGAGATACTAGCCCTGGCTGGTGTTGCTCAGTGGATTGAGTGCTGGTCTGAGAACCAAATGGTTGCCAGTTTGATTCCTGGTCAGGGCACATGCCTGGGTGGTGGGCCAGGTCCCTGGTGGGGGGCATGCGAGAGGCAACCACACGTTGATGTTTCTCTCCATCTCTTTCTCCCTCCCTTCCCGTCTCTAAAAATAAATAAAATAAAATAAAATAAATTAAAGATAAATAAATAAATTTGAGATAGTGGTAGGATTTAACCAATTTTGTCACTGGAGTCAAGAGACATTATTCAAATGGCCTGGAATTTGAGCACAGCTTCTGTTGTTTACAATATGTGAAAATACTCTCTTAGTTATAGCTAGGAAATATAGCCTCATTTTCACTACTACCACCACTATCATTACCACAAAATGATAATTTTTATAATCTGAACAAGTTAAGGTCTTTTTAAAAGTCATAGATTGACTATTGTTTTCACATTTGTAATAGAAATGTACTTAAACTTTATAAATTTTGTCTAATATCTCTTCCCTTTTTAATTTGAAGAACTTTATTTTTCCAGTTTTTTTTATCTTTTTGTGTTCTATGTACTTTTCTTCTGTTTAAATTTTTTATGTTTTATTGTTATTTTATATTTTTCTGTTCTGTTTTTCTTCCTTTTCACTTTCTGATGTAAAAGTTTTCTACTCTTCTCATTAACATTCTGTTTCCTTTCTAATTTAATTTTTTTCTACTTTTCCCAACTTGTTTGACATCTTATACAATCTATTTTCAGATACTTCTTGTTTCTTTATGGGTTTCAATAGAAATGAAGCAAAATGAATCGGCATCATCTTGCTTAGTGCAGTCAGCCATTTTAACTTTTCTATCAGTTATGTGATGGGCAACCTTTCCAATTTCAAAGAACATGTTTTAAAGATTTTACTTATTTATTTTTAGACAGAGAGGAAGGGAGGGAGAGAAACATCCATGTGTTGGTTGCTTCTCATGGTCCCCTTAACACAGACCTGGCCCGCAACCCAGGCATGTGCCCTGACTGGGAATTGAACCCATGGGAGTTGATTCACAGGCTGGTGCTCAATCTACTAAGCCTAACCAGCCAGTGTGAAATCATTTGAAATAATTATTTTAAATAATGCAGTTGTTTGGATGCAGTGGTATATTAGAAATAAATTTGAATATAGAGATATGACACAGGCTAAATTTGGAAATATGATGTACTTTATTGTCATCTTTATGATCTTTTACAATAACTTGTCCACATATTACTTTTAAAGATGCTAAGTTCTGCCTTTATTACTGTCTTAACCTATTATTGATATTTACAAACTTAAAAATACAAAATGATAATAAGCCTCATTTTAAGCTTTTAAAAATCATTTTTTTGGTAGAATTTAAAATGGAGCCCCAATTTCACAGTACTACTAATCCATTGATTGCATAGCTAATTTAATTATTGCAGTTATTTAGGTAGAATTTTGAGCAATTTGTTGAACTAGCTAGTCCAGTTGTCTCACAAGGGCTTGTTATTTGAATATTTGGATACTGTTTGGATGTGTTGCTTCATGATTGCCCTATGGCTAATTGGCCCCTATAACCTTATATATTTGTTCATATACTTGGACACTGAAATTAAAATTAAGTTGGGAGGTGAGATTTTGGGCACTAAACTATTAGAAGTCCTTACACTTTATATTGCCATTTTTGTCCCAAATACTTCAGAACTCCCCATTCCAGTTTTCTAGATCTGTGATGTTTGCTTCAAATCAATCAGAGGGAAAAATGGTATGAGTGATATAAATGATCATTTATTATGATAAGATAGATGCTTGGCCTATTGTATCATGCTGATGTTCTCCTGGGCTACACTGGACAATACCCAGCTTGATGTACATCTAGTTGTTATTGTATACATGTCCAGGAATTTATACCTGCTCCTGCTTCTCATGCTCTCACTTTCAGGTCTCCATTAGCTATCTAACTTTTGGGATTTGTACCTCAGTTTGGAGTAATAGGACTGCTTTCTGATCATGTGCCTTTGTGGCATACATTCAAGTTTGAGTATCAGGTTTTGTTGATTAACTGGTTTCTTTCAACTTAAAAAAGAAAATAAAAATTATGTCAGGCATGTAGTCATATGGTAAGTAAAGTTGTCTAGATCTTCTGCAATTGGCAGCAATTTTTCCAGCTGTTTAATGATCACAAGACTACTTATTTATCACAAAATTTAGAAGTACCATGAGAATGTATAATAACTGCAAATATTCTAATGATTATGGTAATGAACATGCTAGTGATGTCTGCTCTAGTGGTTATGTGCAATGCATACCTGATTTTTGTAACATTTAATAAGTGCTTTGGCCATTACAGCGTTAACCAGATGCTATTAATTGCACTGAGAATCAGAATGGGGATCAGGCAGGGGCTCCTGAGTTCAAATTTTTGGCTTAAGGTTTTAGCATCAAATTGCTTATTAAATGCATGTGAAAGTGTTTTTCACTGTGCTTGGAGTAACCCCAAGCGAAGAATTAAAAACCTGTATCCTGGATTAAACCATTTGGGTCAAAACATGCTTCTATAGCATTGGAGATATCTTTACTTAGATAAAGTTGTTACCTTATATATAATCTTATTTTGTGGGAATTGGGGATTCAGAACTGTAGAATTAAAGTGAAAATATCCATATATGTTTTAAAATAAAATGGTTTCCCTGACCCTTGTCTAAATGTCTAAGAAATTCAAATAGTTTGGCTTTGTAGGAAATCCTCTATCTAGTTTTCTTTGAGCCAGCCATGACTTTAGCTACAAAGTACAGAAGAATCATATCAATGAAAACAAATGTTAAATTTAACATCACCATATAGCCATATTTTGACTTTTAGCCAAACAGACACTTCCAATGTGAAACTAAAAATGGTTAACTAGAATTGGGCACTGAAATTTGTAAGCTCATCATGTGGCCATTGGCTACCTGTGATTGATCACCAGCTAGGAAACAAACTTACAAGTTATTGCCAAAGCTGTCCATAATGCCATCCTTCTTCTTTCCAAATTCATGTTTCTGCTTTTAGTGATTTTTCCAGTCATTTAATGATAATTATTATTGTATATTTATGGAGGAAACATCTGGCCAAAAGTGGAATTATGCATCCAAATTTTGGAACATTGTTGTTTTCTCTGTTTTTTTTTAAATCTGTTGCCCTATAGCCTGTTCTGCCCCTGATTTAGTTAATACCTCCCTATTTTCATAACTGCCCCACTTTAGATGGGATTACCTTCCCCCATTCAGACCCATTGGTTTCATCTCCTCCCACCTTCTAAGTTGTCCCACATTCTGTTTTAACTTTCTTTTCTTTCTTTATTTACGTCCATTACAGCCAGATCTCTATGGCTCACAGATGTGCCCAGGGAAGCTCCCAGAGGTGCGTCACAGGCCCAAAAGAAGCTTGCATCAAAGTGCTTCTTTGAGATGTCATAGCACTGCAGCAGCAGGTTCATGTGTGTGCAGTAGAGTTGTTGCTTGGCTTATCTCACCTTTTTGTTCTCATTCCCAAACTCTGGAGGCCCACGTCACACATCGTTTTGCTGAGACTTCGTAGGACAAAGCCACACTTCAGTAATAGTGTGTCTGGTTTTTGCTCCAAGTTGCTCTTGGAGGTTGGATGATTATGAAATGGGGATATCTGTAGGTTGAACAAGTAGGAAAGAATACTGAATGCTCAATGCAAAACTAACCTGTATATATAATTTTTGCAGTTCACCTTGGTTAGATTTCCGAATACTCCTTCCTCTCTGCTCTAATGCTTCAGATTATTGCAAATTCTTATAAGGCTTTGGCATAGTTGTCACAGTCCCCAGGTTCCTCTATATGGCCAGTAAATGAAGTGGGAAGGAGGGAATTGAGGGAGGAGACCAGGAAGCTGCAGGGAAAGTGCCCGAAGCAGCATTATGTTACTGTTTAGCATCTCAGTGGTTATTGCTTTTCCATAATTCTTTGTCTCCTCTCAATCAACCTTTCTATTAAAGCTCTGGACCCCCCAAATTACATTTTATAATCACAAAGTATGAATTGACCAAGGGTGAGGCTTTTCTTTTATTCAAAAATATATACTAATTACAACATACCCAGAAAGAAACAGCTTGTATTATTCCAGTCAAATGAAGTCTATTGATCTGCACTATACTATGCTGTGTGCAAATTGAGAGAAGTCTTGCTATGTCTGCCCTGAGTCACCAGAAAAAAACTAAGTTAAGCTATAACATCATTTCATGGATGAGCAGAGTTAATATGGAGGTGATTTTCATGTGCTTTTTTTTCTATCACAGTCATACTCCCACCCACCTTTTTTAAGTTAGATCCTAGTTTTCCCTACGTGTTTTATTTAGAAAAGGGAATGATTGCATTATTAATTTACTAACTATAAATCTAGAGTGTAACTTCAGTTTCCCAAGTGTAATCCTACAGGTAGCATGGGCTTCTTGGTGAAGAACTTTACTGGTCCAGAAAAATGTAGCTGCTGAATGTTCTGATCTGCCATTCTTTTCCTTTGGTTGTCCACAGGGAATTCCTGAGCAATGGGCACGATTACTCCAAACTTCCAACATAACAAAACTGGAACAGAAGAAGAACCCACAAGCTGTTCTAGATGTTCTAAAATTCTATGATTCCAAAGAAACAGTGAACAACCAGAAATACATGAGCTTTACATCAGGAGGTAAGAGTAAATCTAGGCTGTCGAAAAGTGAAAAAATAATTCTAATTAAAGAGGAGGATTAGAACAGAAGACTTGTAGGGCATTTGAAGTCAGTTCTAGTTCTTTTTACAAATGAGTTCAACAGAAGTAAACCAAAACATGAGTCGGAAATTGAAGTTGGTGTTAGGAGATTTACAGTGCTTGGATAATTTTAGAACTGAAATAGGAACATCGTTCAGCAAATCATTAATTGTCTGTTTGAATCAGCAATCACATTTTTTGTCTCTTCACTAATATGAAGACACTCAGATACTTAGGATCAAGCCTTGTGATGTGTTTATGAAGTAAGAAATATATGGATCAAACCATAGCCTCTTGAAATTTATTTTATTCTTTGGAACCATTGAATTGAAAGATGATAACTCAGCACAAATTTTACAGCTGCCAAGTTATTCTGATCAGACCTCAAAAAATAAATCATGGCTTGCTATTTCTAAGAAGGTGAAAGGCCATGTGTCTTCCAAATTTTGACTTTGCTTGCTAGCTTGTAGACCTGGCCTTTATATGATGCTTTGATGTTCAAATTTGCACTATAAGCAACTAAAATACACATACCAAACAATTCTATGTTCTAAGAAAGATTATCTGCGTTGCCTCTCTAGAATAATTTCTCCAACATTTTTTTAATCCTCACCGAGTATATATATATTTATTGATTTCAGGGAGAGAAGAATGGAGAGAGAGAGAGAGATCAATGTGAGAGAAACATCTATTGATTGCCTCCCATACATACCTGGCTGGGGACCTAACCCACCACAGAGGCATGTGCTCTGACTGATAGACTAACCCATGACCTTTTGGTTTATGGACAACACTCCAACAAACTGAGTCACACTGGTCACGCTAAAACAATTTCCTATTTAACATCTAAAAAAAAAGAATACTATTGTTAGTGCCCCAGTTATAAAGAGCCCATATCTTTTGGCATTGGTTCTAGTTTAGGGCAAGCTTGATCTCTTCAAGAATGGTGCAATAATACACTTAGAAGGAGAGGTTTCTGATTTGGCCATATCAAATATCAAAGCCCAAACTTAAAGACATATGTTAATTTACATGCTAAATGGTACTCTTTTTAATGAGAAGATTAACTTCTGTTTTCCAATGGCAAAAACATAAAAGAAAAAAGCCATCAAGGAGAGCTTTTAATGATATTTAGTCTATCACATGCAATAACATATTTAAGAGATAATATCTTTTATGTGACATATCAAGAAGTGCTTAATGTGAGCAATCTATAGCTATGCTCCAAGTACAATATAGAACCATAGGTGATGAGAACCAAAGATGCATTCAATAAATCACTTCAGTGTACCCATTAATACTTTTCAGATTATCAGAATTTGTCTTTATTCCAAGTTACCACTGTTTTATTTAAATAAAATAAAAAGCAATTTTATTTAAAAATAAAATGCTTTTATTTTTGTTTTGAATTCTCTCAACTTACAAAAAAAAAAAACCCTAACGAGTATGTTGAAACTCAACAGTATCTGAGTTACTATACTATTCTAAGTAGAGTGAAATACCACCATGTTTTCTGGATGCTCTAATGCAACAAATGACTAATAGGATGAGGAGGAGAAGAGTAGGGGAGAGGAAGAGTGGGTAGAAGGGAGGAAGGGAAAAGAGGAAGAGAGGAGAAAAGGAAAGGAAGAAGTAGCAGACAAATTCTAGATATAGATGTACAATAGTCTTCCCTTATCTGTGGTTTTGGTTTTTGTGTTTTTAGTTACCCATGATCAACCATGGTCTAAAAATATTAAATGGAAAATTTCAGAAATAAATAACTCATTAGTTTTAAATTGTGCACTGTTCTGAGTTGTAAAATGAAATCTTGTGTGATCCTGTTTCATCCTGCCTGAAATATGAATCATCCTTTGTTCAGCATATTCATACTGGGCACACCCCCTACCTGTTAGTCACTTAATAGCCCTCTAGGTTACCAGATTGGCTGTGATGGGATCCCAATGCCTGTATTCAAGCAAGCCTTATATTACTTACTAATGGCCCCAAAGTTCAAAAGTAGTGATGTTGGCAGTTCAGATATGCCAAAGAAAAGCCATAAAGTGCTTCAAGTGAAAAGGTGAAAGTTCTCAACTTAATATGGAAATAAAAAATCATATGTTGAGGTTGCTAAGATCTATGGTAAGAATGAATCTTCTACTCATAATTGTGAAGAAACCCATGCTAGTTTTGTTGTCAAAACTCAGACTGCAAGAGTTACAGTCACAGTGTATAATGGGTGCTTATTTAAAATGAAAAGGCATTAAATTTATGGGTAGAAGACATAAACAGAAAACCTAGATTCTGTAAATTTTCACTTAATGTCCTCCATAGGTTCTTGGAACTGCAGCCAAGCAACATATAATTAAACCAGTTTTACCATAGGCTGATAGATATAAATAAGTGTTAAGTTTCTACAGAATCTCATCAACATAAAGGAGCAATGTTGAACAAAATGAAGTTATTCAGGGACCTGCTGTGTGTGCACATGTGTGTGTACACACACATAGAGTTTGGTATTATCTCAGGTTTCAGGCTTAAATGTATCCACCACATTGTGGGGTTGACTACTGTAGAGAATCATTCCAATCCAGGACTAGATAATCTTAACATTTCTTTATGTAGATGAGATTCACTGAAGGCCTTCATTTTAGGTCTACAAATGATATGGTGATAATGTGCTGAGGATGTAAGGGTGTAAACTATATTAGTAGAAACTATGCCATTTGTCATAATATGTACTTAATACTGAATTGGAGAATTTTATCTTGGCTAAACACATGCAGATTTTTAAATATGTTTTTTTTAAATAAAGTCCTTATGAAACAAAGGTGATAGTTTTATCTTCAATTTTCAGATAAGAGCGCACATGGATACATAGCTGCCCATCCTTCAGTAAGTAAAAAAATTGAAAACAGTTTTGTGTAATCACTGTTTCTGGTAGTCCAACAGAGTGCAATTGTGCAGATCTAGTTTTTACATGTAGAAGCTTTTAAAATAGTTTTTAAAAGTATAATTTAGATACACATTGTATGATTCTACTTATATGAGTTATCTAGAGTAGTCAAAATCATACAGACAAAAAGTGGTTGCTGGGAAAAGCAGAGGTGGGGAGTTAGTGTTTAATGGGTACAGCATTTTAGTGTTGCAATGAAGCGTTCTGGAGTGGGTTGCACAACAATGTGAATACACTTAACACTACTGAACTGTACACTTAAAAGTAGTTAAGATGCTAAATTTTATGTTATGTGTGTTTTACCACAATTAGAAATAAAATTTAAAGAGGAATTAAGGTCCTGGACATAGGTGTTTAGTCTTATTTATCCTCTTACAAGCTGAGTGATTTTGGGAAAATGGCTTAGCTCCTCTGAGCTTTTCTTTCCTCAGCTTTAACTGAGTATAACAGCACATACCTCCTAAATATTGTGTGAATATTGAATGTGATGATGCATATGACATACTTAGTACATACCTAAAACACGTTATATGTTTATTAAGTGTAAGCTACTATTACTATTACTTTTAGATGGCAACAAAACGAAAAACTTCCTCTCTCCATACATAAGGCTCATGTACTGAGGCTTGTGAAGTGATAGTACTTGCACCTTCCTCAGATTATACAAAAGAAAACAGAATATAGCCCTCATATTCTCATTGGTCATGTCCCCTTCTCCTTTTTCTTTGCCATGACAGTTTATTGGTCCACACTAAAAACAGGATGTGAAGGGAAGTAATAGCAAAGTTGGAAAGACAAAAATGCCAACATTCCATGTCCCTGATTTAATCAATATCATCATTGTGTAATACTGACTGGGTATCCTGGCAAATAAATAGTTGCTATTTTTTACATAGGTCAGTTATTTTAAATACCAATCTGCTAGGATGGTCTGTGCATTGATTTTTATTTTGTAAATAGTTAATATCTCCTAAGATATCAGCATTTTTTGAGCATGCTTCTACTGGTTTTGCTTCCCATATTAAAACTAATCTACATAATAACCAAAATATTCTTATAAACTCAGAAAAATATGATTATCTCATTGTTTAGAGATAAAACCACAGGGTATTTATTTATTAAACACATACTATTCAGGTGCTTCCTTAAAATCACTAGGAAATTTGGAGTATATGAACATAAACAAGCTCAATACCATATGGATCATGTTATATACCATGAAATATGTTCATTTGCTATAAGAATTCAGAGAAAAGAGATTACTTTTAGCTGGGGAAGTTAAAGGAAGCCCTTCTCTAAAGGGTTTAAGCTCAGTGCCTGGTACAAAATGGTGCTTGGTACATATTTATTCAAGGTTGAGTTAGAAAATAGTTTATATAAAACAAGGCATTTGGGCTAGATCTTGAGGGTCAGATGGGATTTGGATCTGTGAAGATGGAGAAAGGCATTCTACCAGAAGAAAAAGCATGAAAAAGGACATGGTAGTGAGGAAAGCAAGGTGACAAAGGGGTGTAGGTTTGAATGAAGACTGAGATGCAGGAAAGTGAATCATAGGAATTAAGCCTGGAAAGTTAAGTGGGAGCCAAATTGTAGAGTCACTTAAATGATATTCTAAGGAATGTGGCTTTCTTCAGTGTATAGTGGAAAGCTCTTGAAAATTTTTAGAGCAGGAGTGTTAGATAATTAAAGTTTATGCTTTGAGAAGAGTAGTCTGACAGCAAATGTCCAGAATAAATTGACTGAAGTTGAGATTGGATGAAAGGAGACCAATTAGGGGAGCACTGCAAGACTGTAGGCCAGAGGTAATGAGGGCCTACATGAGATGGTGGAGGTGGGACTGGAGATTAAAATCAGATTCCTGAGATGTTCAGCTTATTGACTGGATGTTAGAGAAAAGATTGATGCCAAAGATGATTACAGGCTTAGAATGATATGTGCTTGGCCAGAAATATGAGCATGTCATCTTTCAGGAGTTGCAAATTTCTGTGAGAAGATGCTGAGTTTCTTTTTAGATAGTTTGAGTTTGAAGGGCTGGCAAGACTTCCAGGTGGGGATAATTAATTAATTACACTCGTAAGTTCAGGTTGGAACATTTCAGTGGGACTCAATTACTTAGGAATGGAGAACTGTACCTTGTGTCCTCCTTATGGTTCTTAGGGAAGACTTCAGACTGATGATGATGATTATTATTAGTATTATTTTGTGTTAGAAAACTTACAGTGGTCCTTGCTATCCTACAGGGTCTGATTTAATGGGATTGACAACTGCTTATAGACAGCCTGAAGTGATCACAAGTTTTGGCATCTTCTAGTAGCTATGATACTACAGTAGGAATTAAAACAGAAGCAATGTTGTATTCACCAAATGTTTTTAAATACTGTCTATATAATTAATATTGAATTTAGCAGTACCTCCCATAGTCATATGACATCTGCTTTACTGCTCACTTATGGTTGCTTCTTTGGTATTAGTATATTTAAATGCTAAATACTGTTCACAGACTTACTCTTCAATTTGAGGCTTTTAAAATATTTTATATTTCTATTGCACTATTGAGAGTGAAGCAATGCATTTAGAATCTTGGGCTAGTATTCCAAGTGGAAGGTAACAGCAATAATATGAATACACCATGATTTGCGCCTAGAGAATCTGGACATACAGTCGACAGATAATGCTTTTTATTTTCAGTACCAGTTAACTTTGTCCATTTAGATTAGTGGTTCTCTTACTCCTTTCACTTTACATCAGAATTGCCTGGGGAGGCTTTTAAAATGCAGAATCCAAGATTCCACTTGAATAGTAGATCTTAAACAGAACTTTGATATTTGAATTTTAAATGAACACCAAAAATGCCCCACAGACAACACTTTGCATTATCTAGTCTCCAAAGTTCTTCTTTATAATTCCTTTGACCTTTAACATTTAAAATTGAAAAATAAATTAACATAAATAAAAACAAAAATAGCTCAAACAAAAGAGTTTTCTGAGATAGTTCCTCTAGCCAGTATACTCTTTAGAGCAAGGTTTATAACTTGAAGTCCATGAATGGGCTTCAGAAGATCTATGAACCCTTGAAATTATGTGTAAGAGCATATATATCCTTGTTTTTAGGGGGTTGATAAGCCAAACCATTCAGAATTCTAAGAGTCCAGGACCCAACTCAGGTCAAGAATTACTCCCCCTCTCCCAGTGTATGGGATAATAAGAATCTAACTAATACCTAATTTAAAAAAGAGAAATAATTCTTTACTTGCTTCCCATCTATCTTTATTTTTATAAGTTTAGATATAATTATTCTTAGCCTGGAAGGAAAAGTGGAGCAATATTACACATTTGGCTCCCAAAAATGTCACCAGGAAAACCTGTTAATCAAGCTGTTTATTAAACTTACAGCAGTGAGAAAGAGACCTACCCCAATAGTCTTAGCTGTGTCTTAGAAAGGGGATGTTAAGGAAGAATATTTATAGGGTTTTAGCGCATGGCTATGTGATTTTGAAGCAGGTCTTGCAAGGTAAGGAACAAGTTAAGATTCTACAGTGTTGTAGGTCAAAATAATGTTAAATAGCTTTGGATTGGCAAATACAGTGAAATGAAGGGATTGAAGAGAGTCTTGGTAAACAGGCTGTTATTCTTTTTGTTGAGCTGTATCAATATCATCTGGAAAGCTTATTATAACAAAGATTGCAAGGCCCAACTTCAAAAGTTTCTTATTCATAGATCTGGATGGAACCTGAGAATCTGCATTTGTAACAAGTTTCTTGATAATGCTGATAATGCTAATCTGGGGACCACAGTTTGAGAGCCATGAGCATAGTTCTTTCAAAATCCAGCTTTGGTACCATTTTACCAAATGATCAAAAAGTGACCCTAGATGCTATGGTTGTTGTTATTTTTAGTGCTGGTATTACTGCATTTTTTAATGTTACAAATCACCATTTACCTGTTGGTTAAGATAGAATAATTATTTATGTAGATCTACATGTCTGTTACTCTGTGAGTGGTTGATCTCAGGAGGCTGAATGGGGAAGAAACATTCATGGGCTTGCTTGTACTTAGTATTTGTAGAACTATATTAATACCATATCCATACATATGCTCACATTTTTAAACACAAAATAGCCCTTTTCTCCTTAACAACTTGTCAATATACAAATGGATATAGTATACAAATTCAAAGCTTTAATAGTAATTAATTTGATTTTTTAAATATATTCATTGATTTAAAAAAACATTGAGCTTTAAAATAGTAAATGAGTATCTCTCACTGTTTTTTAGTTCAGTGGAAAATAAAAATAACATTTTTAAATTTCATGCTGTTTAAACCATGACCTGATTTATTTCTGAATGGGGGCAGGTCCTGAGCACCAAATTTTAGATGGCTTTGCCCCTTTGTAACAGATGCAGTTCCCTGTTAACCCTAAAGTTAAATATTTTATTTTCCTTGTCTCATTTTTGAAGGAAAGCAATGAGGAGTTAATACCAGGTCTTTTAACTTTGTTTTTGTCATAAGAGTACAAAAACAGCATCAGAGCCTCCTTTAGCTCCTCCTGTGTCTGAAGAGGAAGATGAAGAAGAAGAAGAAGAAGATGACAATGAGCCCCCACCAGTTATTGCTCCAAGACCTGAGCATACAAAATCAGTAAGTCACAAGTGACTATTTCCAAATGATTCAAAAGATGTCCTTGGGAGCAGTCACACAGTCAGAATCTAGTTAATCAAGTAGTATGTATTGAATATCTTACTATGTTCCAGAACTTGTGGATACAAGGTTAGCATGTGATAATAGAGAATAATACCAAACAATATACAAATAAGTGTTAAGACAAAAAACTGTACTTGAAAAATAACTAAATAAAAAAAACTCCTACAGACATTAACATGGAAAAAAAAGTCCCTATGCATCAGTTAGGAAGACTCACATAAGCAGAGGCACCAGTACCAGAATTAGCACAGCATATATGGAGGTAGCAAAGGACTAGATCCTCAGAGCTTCTGAGGGCAGTGTACTTGAAGCAACTTAAAGTGCTTTTTTAATGGAAATCACTTGTATTTAAAAACTGATTGAGGGCTGAGGTGAAGGATAGGAGGAGGCGTGAGTGGGCAGAGCACAGACAGTATTAAAAGCAATGAAAATACTCAGCATTTTACAATAATAATAGATAAATGTCTCTATACATTTGTCCAAACCCACAGAATATACTACACTCACAATGACTGTATGTAAATTATTGAATTTGAGTGATTATGATGTCAATGTAGGTTCATCAGTTGTAACAAATGCAGCAGTCTGGTAAAGATATGTTGATAATATGTGAAGCTATGCATGAATGGGGTCAGTAGGTATATGGGAAACCTATGTACCTTCTGCTAAATTTTGCTGTGAACCTAAAGCTCCTTAAAATTTATCTTGATTTAAAGAACCTCACTAATATGACAGTGTCTTGACTTTATATCTTTTCCTTACCCTGCTGTTTTAATTGTAGAACAATTTTTCTTGCCTTTAAGATCTACACTCGTTCTGTGCTTGAATCCATTGCTTCACCAGCAGCACCAAATAAAGAAGTCACACCATCTTCCACTGAGAACGCCAATTCTAGTACTTTGTATAGAAACACAGATCGACAAAGGAAAAAATCCAAGATGACAGATGAGGAGATTCTAGAGAAGCTAAGTGAGTCTTTTGCCATCATTACTTTCTTAATGGAATGGATTCTCATAAAGTAGAATGAGAATTGATCCTTTAGAAGTTTAAATCTGCTTGCATGAACTCCAGACTCCCTGAACTCATGTGATTTAAAATTGGGGACTCACCGTGTATTTTAGATCATTCTCTACTGTATAATTTTAATTTTATAGAAAGTAAATATTTTCACTTGAAAAAAATCAACTAAGCTGAAAACTTGACAAGATTAATTTAGTAAGTTTTATTTTAAAATTACACTCCCAAAAGGATTAAAATAGGTTGATGACATATTTTATGATTGTACCCCAAGGGTTTTGATTTGACCAATCAATCAAAACAAATAAGTCAATCAAAATCAAAACGGGCAGTCACAATAATATAGCTTTTTTTCCTTAATTTAGGAGCATGTATCTGTGAAGAGGAGACAGGGACAACAAATGCAAGCAGTTTCTTTGTCACAATGTCATTAGTGTGTATATGCTTGTGCATACACATTTACTCCAGTTTTGCAAAAACACTCTCTAGTTAGCTTTCTGGATCAAAAAGACCTAAAAAAATATTCCCTACTTAAAAGTAAAGGTCTGTGAAATATACTTATATTCATTAAACTTAACATTACAAAAGCCTTTAACAAATTGCTCATTACCCAGTGCCCTCATTCTGACTCCTACTTATCTTCAAAACTCAGCTGAAATGTTTCCTCCTCAGGAAGTCCTTCCCTGTCTGTCTCAGTCTAAGTGTTCCTCTTCTTTGCTTCCTTTCTGGCATAAAATATCACATCATATTAGTCTGCTTCCTTCCTTCACTTAGACTGTGAGCTCCTCAAAGGCAGAAACAGTGTCTTCTTTCCCTTTATGTCTAGCTCTGATAAAGTGTCTGATACATGAAAGCTCTTAACAAATGCTTCTTGAGTGAATGGATGAAAAAATAAGCAAACAAATATATCTTTACTGGGTTCTTCCTTGTCAGTTCTATGCCAGACTCTTTGGAGAAAACAATAGAAAAACAATTTTCTGCCATCAGGAAACTTACAATTTTATTTGTAAGATAAGAATTGTATGTGGGAGATGGGGGTGGGTAGGGCAGAGGGAAGTAATGGGGACAACTAACCGAACAACAATAAAGAGGAAATAAAGATTTAATAGTGTTGTACAATTAGAGAATAGGAAGTCATTTTATTTCAAGCACATGTCTGTCTAAAATACCTCAAAAAGGAAGAGAGCATCTTAGGGGAGTTATAGGTCCTAAGAATACTCTGCAGAGGTGGTTGTAAAGCCATTTTGCCTTCTGGTGGGCATTTGGGAATGTCTAGAGACATGTTTATTGTCATGACACAGGGAGTGCTTCCGGCATCTAGTGGAATAGGTTAGGGATGGTTCTAAATACTCTACAATGTAAATGACAACACCCCTCCTTTCCCCAATGCAACAAAGAATATTTAGCCCTAAATATCAACAATGCTTTGGATGAGACATTCTGAGCTCAAAGTATTTTAGAAAGGCAAAGGTTTGTCTTGCAGATGTCTATGAGCACTCAGAAATGGAATTGCTGAACTTTAGCCAACTGAATTTAGCAGACATTATTAAATATGCCTCTAGTGTAATGCCAGCTATCTGTTGTTGATATGTGCACTGATCAGCAGTGCCTGCGAGGTTATGGACGATCAAGACAAATTCACACGGACCACCGAGTCCTGTGGAGGAAAATGGCACAGCTATTCCCTCAAGGGGGGAGAACCTCAGAACAGCCTGGCCACCCTCGCAAGGGGAGAGCAGCTTGGAGTGGCCTGGCAACTCTTTCAAGAACAGAGAGCACTGACCCTTGCCTAGACAGGCTTTTATTGGTCTTTTTTTTTTTGCACAGGAGTTCAGGTACAACTTATTAATCATTATCGGGCAGCAAACAGTAGATAGTATACAAAGAACCATTAGGGCTTCTTCTAAATCAGGGTCTATCAGCTAAAAGGCTACAAAACTTTGGGAAAACAAACTCATTTTCTGCCTGGGCCTTTCTCATTTAAATAAGAGCATTCTTAGCAAAGCAGGCTTCACAGGATTTTACATATCCTTTCTCAGGCCTGATGTCCTGGGGAGCCTTCCATTCTCAGCACAGGCTACACCACCCTCTGTCATTGTTTTCAGTCTTAAGTTAGGCAGAGGAGGCAGATAGACAAAGAATTCTGAGACTTCTCATAGACAGACTGAGGACTCAGGCTTTGTCAAAGCTGAGGGATGAGGGCTCATCACCCCCTTTCTTCATAGCCCCCCAAGTCCTTCCCCAGGTCCTCCACGTGATCATGCCTGTCTTAGGTGATTCCCCCCTTGGGGAATCTTACCTGTCATTGTCTAACTGATCAAGCATTGGAGGCCAGTTATGGATAAAGGAGCAGAAGCAGTGCTCCTACCAGAGAGATAAGATTTGTCTCCTTAGTGGATTATGGTCCAAAGGTCACTCACTCAGCCTCAGTGATGGTGGGTTTCAGCTCCTAAAACCAGGCAGGCCAGTCCCCAACATGTTGTAGTGGCAAAAGTAATTATTCCCATTTATGGAGCACTTTTTGTGGTGATCCCTTTACATACATTATCAAGTTTAAGTTTCACAATAATCCCTTGTGGTAGATTTTAATATCCTCATTTTACAGATCAGTGGAAGTATGTCTCAAAAACTTAAAGTGACCCAGTCACCAAAGTAATGAGAGGCAGAGACAGAGTTTGAACTCAAACGTTTGCTTTTGAAGCTTACATTATTTCCATTACCAATTTTGTATACATGCCCCAACTGTCTATATGTGTAAAAGGGAAAGGAAATAAAAGAATTGCCTGGATAATTTTAGTTTTATTATTTAGAGAATTGCCTGTTTTTTATTGCTGTTCAAGTATAGTTGTCTCCATTTTCACCTCACAACAGCCCCTATTTCCCATCCCTGCTTCCCACCCTCAAACCTACCCCCTTTGGCTTTGTCCATGTGTCCTTTATGCATGTTCCTTGATGGTCCTTCACCTATTATCCCCATCCCCTGTCCCCTCTGGTTAATGTCAGTTTTTTTCTTTATTTCAAGGTCTATGGTTGTATTTTCCTTCCTCGTTTGTTTGTTGATTAGGTTGCAGTTATAAGTAAGATCATATGATATTTCTCTTTCACTATCTGGCTTATTTCACTTAGCATAATGCTTTCCAGTTCCATCCATATGGTCACAAAGGGTAGGGGCTCCTTTTTTCTTTATGCTACATAGTATTCCATTGTGTAAATGGAATATACTCTTTAGAGCAAGGTTTATAACTTCAAGTCTAAGAAGACTTGAAGTCTTCTTAGAGTGGAGTCGTGTAAGTTCTTTGTATATTTTGGAGATTAAACCTTTGTCTGAGGTATCATTGGCAAATGTACCAAAGTTTTGGATCCACTCACTTACTGATGAGCACTTAGTTTGCTTCCAGCAGTTGCTATTGTAAACCGTGCTGCTATAAGCATTGGGGTGCATAGGTTCTTTTGAAATGGTGTTTCAGCATTCTTAGGGTATAATGTCAGCAGTGGAATTGCTGGGTCAAAAGGCAGTTCCATTATTAGTTTTCTCAGGAAATTCCATACTGTTTCCCACAGTGGCTGCACCAGTCTGCATTCCCTCCAACAGTGAACTAGAGTTCCCTTTTCTCCACAACCTCTCCATCATATGTGGTTTCTTGATTGGTTTATGATGGCTGTTCTCACTGGTGTGAAGTGGTATTGCATTGTGGTTTTACTTTGTACCTCTCTGATGGATGGTGATGCTGAATATCTTTTTTTTCTTTTGAAAACAAAATGTACTTTTTTATTTTAATTTTAATTTTTTAAATTTTTTATTTAGTTATTTTTCAAGTACAGTTTTTTGTCTATTTTCCCCATCCCGGCCCCCCCTGCCCCTTGCTCCCCACCTCCCTCCCATTTCCACCCCCCTTAGTTCTCGTCCCTGTGTCCTTCCTATTTGTTCCTCCAAATCCCTCCCCCATTTTCCCCTTAACTTCCCTTCCTTCTCCCCTCTGCTCACTGTCCCCTTGTTCTCTATTTCAGTGTCTTTGTTTTTTTTTCTGCATCTTGTTTGTTTTGTTGTTTAGCTTCCTGTTAAAGGTGAGATCACATGGTATTTGTCTTTCAGCACCTGGCCTATTTCACTCAGCATAATGCTTTCCACTTCCATCCATGTTGTTGCAAAAGGTAGTAGCTCCTTCTTTCTCTCTGCTGCATAGAATTCCATTGTGTATATGTACCACAATTTTTTGATCCATTCATTTACTGATGGGCACCTAGGTTGCTTCCAACTCTTGGCTATTGTAAATTGTGCTGCTATGAACATTGTGGTGCATAGGTTCTTTGATATTGATGTTTTAGGATTCTTAGGATATAATCCCAGCAGTGGAATTGCTGGGTCAAAAGGCAGGTCGATTTTTATTTTTCTGAGAAAATTCCATACTGTTTTTCATAATTGTTGTACCAGTCTGCAATCCCACCAACAGTGGACTAAGGACCCCTTTTCCCCACAACCTCTCCAACATTTGTTGTTTGTTGCTTTGTTTATGATAGCCATCCTGACTGGTGTAAAGTGGTATCTCATTGTGGTTTTAATTTGAATCTCTCTGATAGCTAATGATATTGAGCATCTCTTCATGTGTCTCTGAATGTCCTGTATGTCCTCCTTGGAGAAGTGTTTGTTCAAGTCCTTTTCCTATTTTCTAATTGGGTTGGGTGTCTTCTTAGAGTGGAGTCAAGTAAGTTCTTTGTATATTTTGGAGATTAAACCTTTGTCTGAGGTATCATTGGCAAATATGTTTTCCCATACAGTTGGTTGTCTTGCTAATTTAATACTGTTTTCTTTAGCCACGCAGAAGCTTTTTATTTTGATGAGATCCCATTTGTTTATTCTTTCCTTTACATTCCTTGCTCTAGGGGACATATCAGTAAAAAAGTTGCTGCGTGAAATATCTGAGATTTTCTTGCAAATGTTCTCCTCTTGGACT